CTCATTCCAATGAGGACAAGACGCTGCCACTGGCACTCATCTCTCATGGTACGTTGGTGCCAGTGAGATGAGTCACTCCTGGCACCGTGTAGACTACCTTTCAGTTAATTTCGTTTGTCTGTTTGTCTCTTTGTTATTTCTTGGTGCCTGGGTCTTTTATTTTTCTGTTTGTTTTTTTCTTATTTTTCTTATTTTTTCTTTGTTATTTTTCAGTGCCTGGGTCTTTATTATTTTTTCCCTTTTTTTTGGGGGGGGGGGATCTAGTTTCAATGGTTATAAATAGAGGAGAAACGCATAAAAAGAAGAAGCAGGCAAGAAAAAGCTTAAAAAAAAATAGATAAAGAAGGAGAAACTTAAAAAGAAGAAGACAAGGAATAGAAACATAAAGAGAAAAAGAAGCAGAAGAAGAAGCAGATAAAAAGGGAGAAACTTAAAAGGAAGAAGAAGAATGAAGTAGATAAAGAAAAAGAAATGTAAAAGAAGAAGAAAAAGCGGATAAAGAGAGAGAAGCGTAAAAAGATGGAACAAATGAAGGAATCAGATAAAGAAGAAGAGGAAGAAGAAATAATCAGATAAAGAGGAAGAAGCGTAAAAGAAGAAGGAAGAAGAGATAAAGAGGAAGAAGCATAAAAAGAAGATGAAACAGATGAAAGAATAAGATAAAGACGAAGAAGCGTAGATGAAGAAGAAAAAGACGAAGAATAAATCAGATAAAGAGAGAGAATCGTAGAAAGAAGAAGAAAGAAATCAGATAAAGAGAGAGAATCGAAGAAGAAGAAGAGAGAGAATCGGATAAAGAGGAAGAAGCGAAAGAAGAAAGAGAAGAAAAGAAATCAGATAAAGAGAGAGAATCGTAAAAAGAAGAAGAAGAAAGAGAGAATCGGGTAAAGAGGGAGGGTCGTGGCAGCCGAGGCCAAGCGGACCCCCAAGCACAACAAAAGCCAGGAAACGAATCAGGCAAATGCAGATTCCACGCCGCCCACGCCCCTCCACGCCCACCGATAAAACTCCCTACGCCTCCCTCACGCCCACACGCCCTCCTCACTCACCCCCCCCCTCACGCCCCCCCCCACCTCCTCACATACCCTTACCTCCCTTCTCCTTCACGCATTTCTCACCCCCCCCCCCCTTCAACCTCACCTCTCCTGCTCCTCACGCCATTCCCCTACCCTCACCCTCACTTTTCCTCCTCCTCCTCCTCCTCCTCCTTCCTCCTTCTTCTTCTTCTTTTCTTCCTTCTTCTTCTTCTTCTTCTTCTTCTTCTTCTTCTTCACCTTCTTCTATCCCCTCCCTCCTCCCCTCCTGCTCCCCCTCCCCTTCCTCCCCCCCTCCTCTCCCTCCTCCTCCTCCTCCCCCTCCCCCTCCTCCCTCTCCCTCCTCCTCCTCCTCCTCCTCCTCCTCCTCCTTTGTCCCCTCATTTCATTCCTAGTCCTCGTGGGGATGTGCGCGCGGGTGGATGGGCGTATTAGCGGAGAGTGGGCGTGAGAACGAAGTGTTTACACGTGTTGCGAGGGTGAAAGAAGTATCGCTCAAGATTTTTTTTTTTTTTTTTTTTTTTTTTTTTTTTTTTTTTTTTTTTAGTTTCGATTCGTCTTGTTGTGTTGGTCTCGACCAGGAATAGAAAAGAAATGAGGGGGTAGGGGGATAGGAGGAGGGGAGGAGGGGGGTGGGAGTGGAGTTGGGAGGGTAGGGAGGTAAGAAGGGGGAGGGTAGAGGAGTGGAGAAGGAATGGAAAGGGGGGGGGAGAGGAGGGTAGGGGGGGAGCGGGGGGAGGAGTGGAGAAGGAATGGAAAGGGGAAGGAGGGGTATGAGGAGAAGAGAGAGTGGAGGGGGTAGGAGTAAAGAGTGGGGAAGGAGTGGAGTTGGGGGTAGGGTAAGGAATGGGAGGGGGGGAGAGGGAGTGGGGAGGGAATGGAATAGTGGGTTAAGGGATAAGATGTGGTGAGGAATGGAGTGGGGGGGTAGTGGGAAAGAGTGGGCAAGGAGGGTGTGGGGAAATGAGGAGTAGAGAGGGGAAATTGGGGAAGGGAAGAAACAAGGGAGGGAGAGTGGAAAGGAAAGGGGGGGAGGGAATAGGGGAGAAGGTTAATAAAGGGTTGAGACTGAAGAGGAGGCAAAGGGTGAAAAAGGAGTGAGGGAAAGAAAATAGGGGAAGGAAGGAGGGAAGGGAAGGAATGGGAAAGGGTGAAAAGGAGGGGAAAGAAAAGAGGGGAAAGAAGGGAGAGAAGGGATAGAAAAGGGTGAAGAGGAGAAGAAGAGAGAGGAAAGAAAAGTGGAGAAAGGAAAGGAGAGAAGGAATGGGAAAGAATGAAGAGGAGGAGGGAGTGAGGGAAAGAAAAGAGGAGAAGGAAGGGAGGGAAGGAATAAGAAAGAATGAAAAGAGAAGGAGGAGAGGGGAGGGGGGGAGCCAAAGAAGGGGAGGGGAGGGTAGGGAGGGCAAGGGGGGAGCGTCCTTTGTTCGGGGCAAGGGACTGAGGGCGGTTATGTGAAATAAAAATTG